CCTTGTGTATATGGCTTGGTGTCCTGTGCTTCTCTCTTTTATATAAGATATAATAACTAGTTAACTATTACTTAGTTAACTTATATTACATAGGGGCCCGGAGGCGTGCGTAGAGAGGGTCACAGCATAGTTCAGTAAAAGTCAAAGATGGTAGCTTACTATTATTTATATATATTTAATAGTTTGCCACACTCACTGATTATTTCATAATAGTTATTAAACTGTTATCTACAATAACAGTTAGATTATATTACAGTTGCTTATAATTGCAAAACAGTTATTTATTATTATTTATATATAATAATAATTACTAACAATACAACCTCACCCAAACCGGGTAATTATATATAAATATTATTAAAGTTAAATACAATTCAGAAACTATTATATAATTATAATTTAATAAGAATAGTTCTGTAATAAAATAGATTAGATACAGAAGATATCTATTACTTATAAACAGAAACTGTATTTTATAGATATATAATAAATATTAATTATAATTTCTAGACATTATCTGGTATTTTATAGATATATAACAAATATTAATTATAATTTCTAGAGATTATCTGGTTACCCTCCTTAAATAATAATAAGATTCTTATACAAAATATTCTCAGAAGTAATATATAATTATATCAAAGTAGTAAAAGACCAGAATATAATAATTTATTATTTATATAAAATCAATATTTCATGAACAGTATACTAGATCTTGTCTAGTATTAATATCAACTGATATCTGTCTATAAATATTATCTATATCGATCATAAATACCGGCTCAACTTTACTTTGTAATCCTGACAATACCCATCTCTTAGAAAAACAATAGAAAGGAAGAGTTGTTAGAGTGGCTAACAGCCAGATCAGGTTAGATTAATTAAAATTTTTATATCTAATCGCCAGATTATAATTAAATTAAGAAAATTTTTATATCTGATCACAGTATAGCTAAAAATCGGGTAATTAATTATCTTAATTATTCTTAGTATTAAGATCTATTTATTATATCTTTTTAAGCTCTAGTATAATTAAGATATATTTAGATTAAATAATTATTAATCTGGCTATTTTTATTATCGTCTAAAAGTATATAAAAAGAAGTTTTTTAGATTAAAAAAATATAACTAAGAAAGAAATTAATATTTTTTTTATTATTATTTATTAAAAATAATAAGAAAATTCTAGTTATATTAATAAATTTTAGCTTTTTATAAAATTATTATTCTTATAATAAAAAATATATATAAAAATATATAATTATTACTTTATTTTAGCTATATATCTTAATTATATTATAAAACACTAGAAAAACTATATATTAATTATTAATTAAAATACTAAGAATAAATATACTATTTCTATTTTATTATTTTTTCTAAATTAGATTATTTTTAAATTTATAGATAAGATATAGCTCAAAGAATTATTAATAAAATTAAAAACTAATAGATAGTTAAGAAGATTATAAATAATTAGATTATTAAAATAAAATAGATTAAATAAATTAAATAGATTAAATAAATTAAATAGATTAAATAAATAAAATAAATAAATAAAATATACTAGATCTATATTATAATACTATAGTTCTTATAGAAAATTTTATAAAAATTTTTTATAAATTTTTTTTATAAATATCTATTTTTTATTCTAGTTTATTATATCTTAAGTAGTTTTATTTAAAAAAAGAGATTATTTTATAACTCTGGGCTTCAGATATAAATTTTTAATTATTAAATTTATTAAAATAAATAAAATACAGCAGGCGCCTCAGCTATATATTAAAATATAATAAATTATATTTATATAAAATTATATTTTAAAATAAAATAAACTATCTTTGCAGAGTTTTTTATTTTTATTTTTTTATATTTATTATTTATAGAACAGCTTCAGAATTATAAGTTAATTATAATTATTTAATTTATTTTTAAAGAATATTATTAAGTCTTTTTTTTTTATTTCTCAGATCTTTATAAATTATAATAATATTTAAATTAAGATAAGCTTTTTAAATTAAATCTTTTCTTCTTCTTTAAATCTTAAGATTATATATATTACAAAGAATCAAAAGATTATTTTATATCCAGCTCTTATTAAAATATATAAAGAATTTAAGATATATCTAGATATTAAAAATATATAGCTTCTTAAAATATCTTTAATTAAACTAATATAATTTCAGATATTATAGAATATATTAATATTTTTACTTACTAAAAATTCTGCTATAATTAGTTTTCTATTTTTTATTAGATAGCTAGAGATTTTTTCTTAATTATAATTAATAATATTAGTATTAAATATCTTTTTATTAGTTCTTAAAATATTTATTATTATTATTAAAGCTGTTTTAATTCTGATATAATTAAAGCAGTTATACTTTAAATATATATTAATTATTTTATTATAAGTAAGAAGTATCAGAATATACTTAATAATCTTAATCTAGATTTAATTATTTTTATATTCAAGAAATAAGAGAAGAATAAGATAATTATTATTTTTTATATTAATAAAAATAAGAATATAAATAATCTTGAAAATAATTCAGAAAATAAGTTATTATTAAAATTAGAAGAACTAGTCTTATCTAAGTCTTTAATTATTATATATATTTAAATAGAGATAGAGACCCGGTCTTTATAATTTTTATATTATTATAATTACTATCCTGAATAGTATAAAAAATAAATATTTTATATTTTTTCTTATTTTTTTTATACTAGATTCTGTAAAAGTCTTTTCTAGAGTATAATATATTTTTTAAGATAACTGATTAAGTAGATCAAGCAATAGATTATATCTAAAGAATATTATTATATCTATATTATAATTAAATATATATTATACTTTATATATTATCTATATAAAAAAAATATATATATTATAAATTAATTTATAATTATTAATTTATCTGCTATATCTAATCTTTCTAATCGGCAGATATAAATAGTTATAATAATAATTATATCTTAATTTAATCTTAATTATACAGTTAAAAATTTTTTATATCTTAATCTAATTGCTAGATTATGATCAGATTAAGATTAAGATATAACAGTCAGGTTAAGCCACTCTAATCAAAATCTACTCTAGATTTAAAAATAAAAGAAATAATTATTATTCTTATTTTATAACTTATCAGATTTTAAATATTGTAAAACTAAATAATAAAATATTATATATATTATAATTTACTGTAGATTAGAGTGGCTAACAGCCAGAATGGATTAATAATAATAATTAGAATAGATTTTGAATAAAAAATAGATTAAAAACCAAGCTTTTAAAATCTATATTTAAATAAATATTTTATTATATATTAATATTTTTAAAATATAATTAAACTTAAGTCTTATTTATATTTATATTTTATATTTTAAATATAATTTAATATAATTAAATTATATTTAATATATAATTAATTAATTTTAGAATATTTTAATTAGTTAATTTTTAACTATTAAGTAATATAATATATTAATAATATATTAAATAATAAAAATATATATATAATATAGATTTTATATTTAATAATATAAATTATAATATATAAAATTATATAAAGATTTATATAATATTTTATCTTTATATTTATATCTATATTTTTTAACTGTTTTGCTTAAAACAGTTAACTGTCAGGTTAAAAAAATCCACTCTAAATAATAGTTAAAAAAATTAGATAATAATTAAAATATTTTATAATAATTAAAATAAATATATAATTATTTTTTAAATAATAAGTATAATCTAAACTAGATAATTATATAATTAATTTCTAAATTATATAATATATAAATATTATTATAAAATATTTAATAATTAAAAATTATTATATAAAATAAGCTTAGAATTAATTAATTATATATTCAATATAGTTTAATTATATTAAATAATATTTAAAATATAATTTATAAATAAATATTAAATCTTCTTTTAAATTTAATTCTAAAACTTATATTTTATAATTTTTAAGATCTAAATATACTTTTTAAAAGATTGGTTTTTAACCTGTATTTTAACTGTTAGCCAATCTACTGGAGATAGACAGTGTTTAATAAATAATAAGAATATTAGTAACTAGCTAGATAATAAGAATTCAGCAGGCGAAGCTATCTAGATTCTAGACTATCAACAATTGTTGCAGGTGCAACTGCCAGTCTGCCCCCTACGGCAAGATCAACCCTCCTTTTCTTCACCGCCCCTGGCAGTACCTGTACTCCGTACCATGTGGTACATCAGGTATTGTCGGGGCGGTGAGAGAAAAGGGCTTGCCACAACAAGCAGTTGCCGAGTACGGCCACTTGAGCTAGTTATCCCTCGCCAATAACCTCATCTTTTACCTACCTACTGGATAGTCACATTGAATACACGCGTTTTAGTTATTTGTGAATAGCCTCACTCTGCAATTTATCACTTAACAAGCGACTGCCTTCTTGCAGTTAACCATAGCAACCAAAGCATTCTTACCGCCAGGGAACCTATCAGTACCTACTTGTACCGTGGACGGAGTCTAGTGTACTTACCTAGATTCATCTGTAAGGAAGACAATCTCCATTTCATGATGAGTGGTAGTGATAGAATCACATTATTATCCTGAATATGTTCCTTTGAAATGGGAACCCATGTTAAGACCAAAAGGTACTAACTACAAATTGGACTTGTGTCGGACGAGCATTTTGCATATTATCACATGACAGTATTGTTCCACTTTGGGCAAAGGGCCGCCAGTACTCCGTACCGCCGTGACCAATGCGACTCCATTGGACCTTCATCTAAGGAGACTGATCATCTACATCTACTCTGTACCTACTACCTAGGTAGCAGGCCCAGCACCTTAGTACTTACCTACACAGCACAGTGCAAAATACTGTCCACCAATTGTTTATTTGCGAGTTTGATTTCGTCGGAATTAACTCCACCAGAGCTGTATCTCTTGTCAAGCTACTCAGCTATTTCATTTACTCTTTGGCATTACCTGCTACCCGGGACCATGCAGCCCCGTCGCTTCATTATTTCCCCTGTGCTGTACCTTGTCTACTTCCTTGCTGTGGCCATATGCTCAGAATCCCAACCGCTATCGGCCGAAATCTTTTGCTGGCCCCTGTCTTCGCCTGGGCCTTCAATTGTCACTCGCATTTCATACGAGGTGACAGCCCAACGACCAGAACTAATCTCCTTTTCAACCCCAACCACCGTCGATTGCGATTATACTGGGTCTGATGGCGAACTCCAAGGTCTAATTCGTCTGGGTCTGTACACCTCCACGGCCACAAATCCCAATCAATGGGTAGGGACTCTCGTGTCACGGTCCTCGCTCATAGGAAGCGATGACTGCAAACCAACACTCCAGCTTCATATCGGCCCATCCAACAAAACCTACCATGTCGAATTGCAACAACATGCTTCCCGAGCAGCTTCTTCAACTCCAATGAGCCCACAGCTAGAGCTTATCTCTTATCAAAACGGCCCGCGCCCCCATCTCAATCAGCCCCTCATCATCGGCCCAGATGGTAAGAATGCGGACGAAGTTTTCGAGAAGACCTTTTTCCAAAAGTAGGTGATGTCTCTATTCCCTCTTCATCTATTGCCGGATTTTGTATGTCATTCAAGCCTGTAGTCTAACATGGTCCGCCTAGATACTGGTGGCTGTTCCTCATTATCGCTTTCTTGGTCATGTCCGGTGGAGGGGAAAGTCAATAGATTCTCTGCCATAGGTTTTCCGTCGTCCAAAACTGCAGTGGCTGCCACTGTTGAAATCATCGATTTGTTACGTCAAATTACCAGGATTCGGGCTTCATACTGCCCTGGGTATTAGAGTGGGTTGATACATTTCGCCGTGCAGCATCTTTCGGCAATGAACGTGTCCAATAAATACATTGTGCGAGACCATTGAGCTTCCACCGGTTCTACTCCTCCTAGTTGATGCTTCGCAGCGAGAATTTGATGCACAAGAAAGAGGTCATGAGTGGAAGAGAGCAAGCAAGTTCTACCTTCTCACGCCATTGTGCTGCTCTGGATCAACCGACATGGCCTTCACAGGTGCTTCATGGCCATATATAACATGACAAGGTGTCGAGTTCACGTGCTTTCGAATCGGATAGCTACAGTGGCATGTTTATCCTGCATCCATTGTAACACAACCGTCGATTCTAGCCTGAGATTCCCACGGCCTGGGGTTCATGAACTAGCTTTCATCTATCTTCTTCGCAAGCAAGCATTTCGACCCTAATGACATGTCTATGCACGCCTCATAGGTTATCCTGTTTCCTCTCCCAGTTGGGCTAATATCCCAGTACATCAAACCTTGGTCTGTAAGGGCCACCAATTCGTTTTCGTTCTCAGCGAAGTACAGCTGGAAACAAACAGCTTCAAGTGAGAGAACTATAGGCCGTAACTCAATCATCTCAGAGCCCGCCGGCCAAGACGAAGCTGGATAAAATCCAGATGCGTTTTTTTCAATGAGTGCATTTGGTTCCAAGGCCCAGATGTAGACAGTATTCCAATTTGCAACAGCAATACGTGTCCCGTGTCCGGCTGCAGCAACTTTACAGCCAAGGGAATTGTTTGGATTTTGGAAGCCCCAGAGCCGTGCCACGATGGTCCAATCCGGTAATCGCCGTCCGCGCTCAAGCTGTAATATATGCTCACAGTTACTAGCCCGACAGACCGCACTGGATCGCAGGAGGCAAGCGACGGTCCAGCCTTCTTCTCGGTGGGTAGCCATCCCGAATGCAAGGTATTTGAAGTGGCATCTGGGGACCCCGTTTTGAACCCGGGTTTCATGTGTACCATGAAATGGTATTCCAATGGAAAAGAGCAAATTTAATGAATCTGTAAACTGCACGGGGCATGAATTCCTGTATAGCGTAGGTTGAATCGGGAAAATCGACGCATCGATATTTTGGAATGAGCTGTACAGGGTTTGTGCACGGTAACGGTAAAGCAATTGACTGGATCTGTCGTTGAATGCGAGTTCCATTACAGGGCCTTGCTCGTGGTAAGAGCGATCCCGAATGAATCCGGATTGTGAAAACCTATAATTTCCACGAATCTGTCTTCTGCCGTCCAAGAGGACGCAAGAATCGTAGCTGAAATCTGAGACATCAGTATAAGCAAGCATGTCTAATAGTTCTCCGTTCTGATTAACTGGCACGGGAAAACGAACCGACTACTCCAGGCTTCGGACTGCTTTTCGATTCAGTGAGGGCACTGTAAAGAACCACTTCATATTCGCTGTGGTCACGAACATGCCGCCAGGAAATGGCAAAGGTGCTTCCGTGTGCAACTGCAAGAGCAAGGGGCTCGTATTCTACATGATCAGGAAAGGCACATATTCGGACAGGCTCATCGGGAGATCGAAGAGAATGCTGGGAAAGGTAGAACATTCCCTTGGAGTTCGATTGCATTGCTTGCCTGACAAATGGATGCCTCGCGTTCGTGTCATTTCCGTCTAGAGCAGGTATAAAACGCCGAAGAATGTGTACCCCGTCATCACCATCAAAGGCTGTTTTGAGAGTTTCCGCTGCCCCCGGCTGGTCCCAAGATGGAGAAATTTGGCATATAGCTTGAAGCCGGCCCCTTCTGATACGAAAAAGGTGAACTTTCTCTTGACCGCGACCGACGATGGCGAGTGTTTGGGTGCTCCAACTTGAAAACGAACATGCCTTTACATCGAGCTCATAGTTTCCAAAGTCAAAAGCCAAGTAAGTTGAATGAAATTGTGAGCCATACAACTGCTGAAAGGCATATTTGACCAACAATTGGAAAAGCCGTTCTGAGCCTGAAGATTGAATATCCAGATTGCAAGTTCCTGGTGTCCGCCGCAGATGGTGTAGGACAACCTCCCGCGAGTTGGAGGCGATTTTATATGCTGTGCGACAAGAAAATGCCACTTCTAAGAAATCATGTGTACTGCACTTTAGAAGGACTTGTAGAATTAGTTCAGGGGGAAGATCCAGGAGCATTTTACCAACTTCAAGAATCAATCAGGGTGATCAAGAGCATGTGTTTACCTGGCCAGAAAACAAATAACATGTACTCTATCTCGCCGGCAACAACAGTAGGGGCCTCTGGTTAATCGTGAATAATTTTTTGTTCACCAAGAGAGAGCTGGAGCCTGGAGGCACCGGACGTCTGCCGTTACTGCCTAACTAAGTCTTAGTAGAGGTGGGTTTTATTATAATATATATTAACAAACATTATACCCAAAGCAACTTGTTTTATCGCATGCAATGGCGCATACTTCTCGCCTACACCACTAGTTGCTTGGCCGCCCCACACCCTTGCAGGTGTTGGCCGGCCACACCTCACAACAAACCTTATCTCATGATGAAATTTATTATATTTATTAAATTAAGACTTTATTAGCTATCTAATTAGACAGTTTTCATACTTAAACACACGCAGGGAAAAATTAATATAGAATAAATTATTAGAATAATAATTTTAAGTCTTTTTTGCAGATTTCTGGCTTGAAGTAAAATTTTTAAAGTTTTTAAGATTAAAATTAATCTTTACTAATTCTAATTATTTTTTCTTTATCAAATTTTAAATCTGCGAGATTTTCTTAATTTTTTTATATTAATATAATTCTTATTAATCCATTCTGTATGTAACTATGTATAAGTAGAGTGGCTAATAGCTAGATCAGGTTAGGTTAATTAGAATTTTTATATCTAATTACCAGATTATAATTAGATTAAGAAAATTTTTATATCTGATTATAATATAGCTAAAAATTAAATAATTAATTATTTTAATTATTTTTAATATTAAAATCTATTTATTATATTTTTTAAGCTCTAGTATAATTAAGATATATTTAGATTAAATAATTATTAATCTAATTATTTTTATTATTATTTAAAAATATATAAAAAAAAGCTTTTTAAATTAAAAAAATATAATTAAAAAAGAAATTAATATTTTTTTTATTATTATTTATTAAAAATAATAAGAAAATCCTAGTTATATTAATAAAATTTAGCTTTTTATAAAATTATTATTTTTATAGTAAAAAATATATATAAATATATATAATTATTACTCTATTTTAGTTATATATTTTAATTATATTATATAAAATATTAAAAAAATTCTATATTAATTATTAATTAAAATATTAAAAATAAATATACTGCTTTTATTTTATTATTTTTTTTAAATTAAATTATTCTTAGATTTATAAATAAAATATAACTCAAAGAGCTATTAATAAAATTAAAAGTAAATAAATAATTAAAAAGATTATAAATAATTAGATTATTAAAATAAAATAGATTAAATAAATTAAATAGATTAAATAGATTAAATAAATTAAATAAATAAAATAAAATAGATAAAATATACTAGATTTATATTATAATATTATAGCTCTTATAAAAAATTTTATAAAACTCTTTTATAAATTCTTTTTATAAATATCTATTTTTTATTCTAATTTATTATATTTTAAGTAGTTTTATTTAAAAAAAAGATTATTTTATAATTTTAAGCTTTAAATATAAATTTTTATTTATTAAATTTATTAAAATAAATAAAATATAGCAGATATCTTAGCTGTATATTAAAATATATTAAATTATATTTATATAAAATTATATTTTAAAATAAAATAAATTATTTTTATAAAATCTTTTTTAATATTTTAAGAATTCTTAAAAAAATATATTCTAAAAATTATTTATAAAAAACTAATATAAAATCTTTTTTTATAAAAAATTTTTAAAAGTCTTCTATTAACTAGTTTATTATATTAATTCTTAATTATAAATTTAAAAAATTATATAATTTATAAATATAAGTTTTTAATATTATAAAAAATTCTTATTTATTTAATAACTTAAATCTAGCTTAGTTTATTATTTTTTTTAATTATAAAATCTACTAAAATTTAATCTATCTTATAATTTATTAAATATTTAATTTTTATTAAATAATTAAAAGTTTTATTTAGTACTATAAGTATAATAATATTAATTATTTTTATTTTATTATAATTAAATAAAAATAAATAAAATATTTTTTTAAGTTTTTATATCTTTTTTTTTTCTGTTTTTCTAAAAATAGTAAGCTTATTATTTACAAAATTTATAATATTTATAATAATCTTTTTAATTATCTAGATTACTTAATTAATAAACTAAAAAGAAGGTAGATATTTTAAAAAATTTTTTAAGAGTTTATATAATATATATTAAAAGCTTTGAAAGTATTATTATTATATTTATTAAATAAAAAACTATATTTATATAATTATAATTATTCTAAATCTAATATTAAAGCTTAAAAAATTTAAAAAAGATATATAATTAAATAATAATATTAACTAATATTATAAATATTAAATTATCTTTAAGGAAATATTCTTTTTTTATTATAATTAGAATTTAATAATTAATATATTATTAATAGTCTTTAAATTATTATTAGATTTAAATAAGATTTTTTATAATATTTTTAAATATCAGAAACTCTCATCTGCAGCTGAGATATATAAAAAATTTAAAATATATTTAAATATTAAAAATATATAGCTTTTTAAGATATTTTTAATTAAATTAATATAATTCTAGATATTATAGAATATATTAATATTTTTATTTATTAAAAATCTTACTATAATTAGTTTTTTATTTTTTATTAAATAATTAGAGATTTTCTCTTAGTTATAATTAATAATATTAGTATTAAATATTTTTTTAATAATTCTTAAAATATTTATTACTATTATTAAAGCTATTTTTATTTTAATATAATTAAAATAGTTATACTTTAAATATATACTAATTATTTTATTATAAATAAAAAATATTAGAATATATTTAATAATCTTAATTTTTATTTAATTATTTTTATATTTAAAAAATAAAAAATAAATAAGATAATTACTATTTTTTATATTAATAAAAATAAGAATATAGATAATCTTAAAAATAATCTAAAGAATAAATTATTATTAAAATTAAAAAAAATAATTTTATCTAAGTCTTTAATTATTATATATATTTAGATAAAGATAAAAATCTAATTTTTATAATTTTTATATTATTATAATTACTATTCTGAACAGTATAAAAAATAAATATTTTATATTTTATATTTATTTTTTTATATTAGATTTTATAAAAGTCTTTTTTAAAGTATAATATATTTCTTAAGATAATTAATTAAGCAGATTAATCAATAAACTATATCTAAAAAATATTATTATATTTATATTATAATTAAATATATATTATACTTTATATATTATTTATATAAAAAAATATATATATATTATAAATTAATTTATAATTATTAATCTATCTTCTATATCTGATTTTTCTGATTAATAGATATAAATAATTATAATAATAATTATATCTTAATCTGATCTTAACTATATAGTTAAAAATTTTTTATATTTTAATCTAATTATCAGATTATGGCCAGGTTAAGATTAAGATATAACAATCAGGTTAAGCCACTCTAGTGATACTGAATGATACTAGGTTTGACAATAAGAATAAGTTATAAAAAAATTTCAGAAAAAAGAAAAAGAAAGAAAAAGAAAAAATAATTTTATTAAAAAAATATTTTTAAGCTCTAAGATTTAAGTCTTAAGTTCTAAGTCTTAATTTATTATTAAATCAGACTTAGTATTATATTTACTATCTTTTTATATTAAGAAAAGATATTAAATATACTAAGCAAGTATTACAAATCTATTATAAGAAATAGATATAAAGAATATTAAAAACTTATTATAAAAACAGATAGAATAAGTATTATAAATCTATTATAAAAAATAGTTATAAAAAATATTATAAGTCTATTATAAAAATAAACAGAATAAATATTATAAATCTATTATAAAAAACAGATATAGAAAATACTGTCATAGTCTATTATAATAAAAAAAAGATTATTTTTTTTCTAAATTAATCTCTTACAAGGGAGAAAAGTATATTTTACAGATAATCTCAGAGCAGTAAGCCGTGTAGGGGTTGGTTAGAGTCTGTTTGACTGTATAGAGCCTGTCTGAATCTAAGATATAGTATTAGTATTATACTCTCTAAAATTTAAAAGACTTACTATAATTTCTGAGGACTTGAAAGAGAAAAAAAGATTTCTAAGAGTATATTATGAAAGAGTTTTGTTGTGGTGTGGGAGAGGGGTGGCGGTTTGTTAGGCGGTAGGGGATCTAGATGTATGAGGACCCATGTCCTTGCATGAGAGGGAACCTGAGATGGTTACAGGTTGCTAAAGAATGGCTTTGTGTTCACAGATCTTGACAATAATACAGACAAATCAGGTCCCAAGCACCAAAATTTGCACATACGGGCATAAGTTGCATGACAATTAAAGAGGCTCCAAGGCTTGGCAGCAGTGGGTAGATATAGTGATAACTCTGCTCATATTATCTGCTATCAGAAACATCCTCGAGTTCTAAATGTCTAATAAACCAAGGACTCTTCAGAGTCCTATATCTTGCTCCTTCCCCAGCCGTGAGACTGACCATTCCAGAACACTTTCATAGCAAAGAACAAACTGGCTCAGGTTCTGCACCATGCTGGGCCTCTGCATCCTAAAATTGTCAACAGTCTTCTCAATGAGATCCACATTGTCATCAAGGATCCATTCATCAGCCCTTGGATCATGCACTGCACCACGTTGGCGTCTCATCATATCTAGTACACTATCCACTGTGCAAAAAGTTCCAGTACGACCACATCCTGCACTGCAATGTACCAACACCGGTCTTTGTTCTGTTAGACTGTCGCGTGTATTGGAAAATGGGCCAGTTGTCGCTGCTGTAACTTTGTCACACTGTTCAATGAGTTTTAGGAGGTGTGCAGGTTGAGATGTAGTCCCGAAGTCAGGCCAATGGGGATACTGCAGCTGCGTCACTTCACGTAGTGGTTGAAATGGGAACGACGAATGTGACAAGCCAAAATGTCTGACGATGATGTAAGGATTGCCGGACTCCTCTGATTTCTCAGGCTCAATTTCGCTTAGCTGCGGATCATGGGAACCCAAATGGATATATCTCTGAGAGAAATTGTTGACCAGACACGGCCCATAGTCCCCAGACTCCCAATAGGGGTGGCACTTGACATGTCCTCTTTCCACCTCCGCGGTCAGAGAAACGATGAGTCGTACATCTTGGTCCCAAACCACCCGCCAAAAGTCCTATAGATGATAAGAATCATGATTTTTTTTAAACAAAATCACCCTCCCGCCCACTTGGCCTTCAGGTGTCGATGTGAGATGTTCACAAAGGGTTTCAAGCTTACTTACAGTGAATGTGTCTGGCACAGGGGCCTGAGTAGCTATATAACACTTACCACTATAATCTGATTTCATGTGATTTGCATTCACATAATCGCAGCCTCCGGGTGGCACGTTCTGCAGTCTGACTCTGGAATGTTCGAATGGATAAATGTCGTTGTATCTATTTTTGGTGCCCTTTTCAATCCCCGCGACGCGAAAATTTTCAGTCGGGCAACCAATTATGGTCTGGTCGGTAGATTTCTTGTAAGAGAGCGCCAATTTCATACGTTCTAGCTCCTTCTTCTCAAGTGCCAAAAATCTCTCTGAAACTTTGCGGCCTTTGTCTGCAGCCTCTGAAACTTCACGCAGCCATGAAGGCAGTAGACCTCTTTTAAATCCCGAAAGATTAGGTGGAAGTTGAAGAGGGATCTGGCCGACCCCGCCGATGAGATCCATGTTTTGTCGGATATTCCCGAAAAAAGGAATTGTGGCATGTGATGACTCCGGTAAGGCACATCCACCCACAACTGGAGCAACCGATGGGAGGTCAATATGCATTCGTGAAAGGTTCTTTGAAGACAGCTCGGATGCTGACGGTGGTGGTCGCTGTTCTTGGGTAAGGCTAGGGAAACGGGACGAGAAGGCCGTGAAGCCTCCAAGGAGTATTAATCCTTCGCCATTCCAACCTTCAGCTGTGAATTTTTTCAAAACATTGACCAGCGAGCTTGCATCCTTCATGTCACGAGTAGCAGAATCGAAGACGATAATATAGCGACAATGCTTCCACCTCGCAAAACTAGTCCGGTCAAACTCATCTGTGAAGGTGTTTGCTAACTTCTGTGTGTCAAAAGAGGGGCGCTTGAGAAGTGTTGTTGGGATACATAGATTTAAAGACCCTTTTATAGTCCCCTTTGTGAAATGCGCATAGGGCCGCACGTCCAAGAACATGGTCTCATGGTAAGAAGTTTCGAGAAGCTTTGCACAGTGCTCGGCCGAGACTGCACATCCATTTGCAGATACCGGTTGTAATAAAGATGCGTCCAATCTGGAAGGCATAAGCCCTCTCCTCTGTAAGCCGGGGTTCCAAGAAAGCTTGATGGTCGTTGAGTCGCTGTGCGCATCGCCGGCCCCTGGTCCAGTTCTTGGAGAGCCCACGCATTCTTCAGATGCCTTATTTTTGGGTATGTGTGCTTTGGGACTGGACGCCGGTGGTTGAGCGTATGGTAAGGTTTCACAAACCCTCACTGCATTGCTAGGGTTTTCCACACTGATAGAGAAGTAATTATGACCTGGGCTTTCAGGGCATGTGTTTTGAGAACTGATAGGTCCAAGAGGAGATTGATGCGGATCACACAAGGGGAAAAGAGCTGTCGCAGTTGAGGACCCCTCAGGCTGCAGGCTTTGACGCTCTTGGGGCCATGGGGATGTAGGTGACCTAGTACCTGCCATAGCAGACATGGCTATCAAGTCTTGAGAATTGCCGGGAGGTGTTTCCTGTTATATCCCGGTATATTGAATATCCCGTTCAAGTACAAACATTCCTTGCCATCACGAGATGGGTTTGATCTTTGAAAGTCGAAGACGCGGTCTAACAATCCACGGACCAAACCACCGACTCTGCTTTCTCCAGCCACTTATGAACACACTACTCATCAATAGAGCAGGCAGCTTGGTTCGTTTTAGTGGGTATTCAGTACGTGCTCATCGACGGCGAAAGGCCAGAGGGACGGGAAGGCCGAATGTTGTGGCAATGCGAAGGCAGGCTTTTTCCTGACGAAAGTAGTCGGTCGGATCCGGGAGGCAACGGGCAAATAAGACTTTAGAAGATAAGGTGGATAGGTAGAAGGTGATGGTGGTAATGATGGTGATGGTAATGATGGTGGTGGTAATGATGGTGGTGGTAATGATGGTGGTGGTAATGATGGTGGTGGTAATGATGGTGGTGGTAATGATGGTGGTGGTAATGATGGTGGTGGTAATGATGGTGGTGGTAATGATGGTGGTGGTAATGATGGTGGTGGTAATAATGGTGGTGGTAATGATGTGATGGCCTGGTGAAGGCAAAATCTCAAAAATTGCGTTAACTGATGGATGGCGCCGTCTCAGCGAAGAGTTGCGGCGATTTTGTGGAAGAAAACACACGAAACAGCGAAACCACCAAGCTGTTTTGTGATGGGCAGTGAAATAGGTTGTGCTTATTCTGGCTCAAGCTACAGTCGTAGTAACCCCAGGACTCACTTAGGGGGGCTAAAATTGAAGTTCAGCAGAATTTCTGAGCCAATGGAAGTATGAGGAAAAGAAAGTGGGGGAAGGAGGGGTTTTGGCTCATATCACTGATCCACAGTCATCATTCCAGTACGAAGGGAATCGGGGGTCGACAACCGAGAAAGCTGCGTGGAAGAGCGAATGGCTGGTGAGGGAAGTCGGGGAGGGGGCGTTGTTCTCTGGATATGACGTTATGGGGTGGGTGGCAGAGACTCGGAAAGCGGCAAAGTGCGCAGAGGATTTATTATTATAAAGTATTACTACTAACTACCCATAGTTACAGCGGCGGCCCGATCTGGATCGCCTGCAGCCACCATGAACCTGGAAGGGCTGTGGCAAGCAGCCCCCGAGATCCTAAGGGTCTGAAGGAGGGTAAAGAGGCAAGGAAAAGGCAAGAACTAACTCGATGAGAATGATTTTTTATATTCTAGTGGTACTGAGCACAGCTACCTGGGCCATTATTATTATTAGCTGGCCTTACCGCCTTATCCTTCTTTCCGTACAAAGTAACCGACCCCTACGCGGCTTACCGCTCAGAGATCGCTCATTGTAAGGATAGTAATCCTTATAACCCTTGTGATATACTATATCACAAGAAATACTTATACTACAGAGGCAGTCCCTTATAAAGTAATTATATTAATATAATATATAATTTATAAAATTTTTGCAGATATATTTATTTATAAAAAAAGCTAGATAAAAAACTAGTAATAATATTTTAAATAATATAAATATTATTTTAATTTTATAATAAATATATTTTTTTATATTATTTTAATATATATTTTTATAATCTTATTATTTAAAATCTATAAGATAATTTATTAAAATTATATTTATATAAAATATTAGATATTATATTTATAAGAATTTTCTTAATTTTTTAAAGACTAACTATAAAGTTATTATTAAAAAAATAATTAAAATAAATATAATTTAATAAATTTTTTAAGAATTTTTATAAATAATTAAATATATTTTAATAACTTATAGAATTAAAACAGAGATTTAAAATTTTTATAAATAATAAAAAAACTTATAAATCTTCAAGTAATTCTAATATTTTATTTATAAAATTAAAGAAAACTAATAGTGTAATATATATATATTTTATTTATAAAATTAAAGAAAACTAATATATATATATTTTTTTTATAAAATAATAAATATTATAATACTTATAACTATATTATTTTTTAATTATTTATTACTTAATAAGAGTCTACTATAAAGACTAATAATTAAAATAAGAATTAATAAATATAAATTAGAATAATTTATCTAGATTATATACTTAGTAATCTATAAAAAAATAATTAAATAAATTTTTATAAATCTTTTAAAATATAGCTAGATAATCTAAGGAATTATAAATAAAAAATATAATTATAAATTCTAAGAATAATTTTTATAAAAAAAAGAACTTTATATATTTATAATATTAAAAAAAATAGAATTAAATTATAAAATATAAAAATTAAATATTATATAATTATATTTATTGTTTAAATTATTTTTATAAAATATAAAATAAAAAATCTATAAATAATTAAATTTTTTTATTATTAAATAGAATTTAATTATACTATTTATAAAATTAAAATTAAATATTAATTAATAAAATAAAAAGATTAATTATATATAAAAAGAATATTATTATTATTTATAAATTAAATAAAATAATATAAAAATCAGAATTATTATAAGAGATTTTTATAAAAAAATATTTTATAATTAAATATATTAAAAAGATTTATCTTATAAGATTTTATATTAATATCTATAAAAATAATAAAATATTTTGATTATAAAAAATAAGATTATATAATAAAAGATTATTATTAATATAAAAATAAAAATCTTAAAAAATAATTTATAATTTAGATAAATTATAAAAAACTAATAAATATATTTTTTATAATATATTATATTTTAAGATTATAAGAGTAATTACTCGCGCAGAATAAAATTAATTTATTTAAAAAAATTAATATCTTAATCAATATAAATATTAAATATAGAAATAAATTTAATATTTATAATATTAATAAAAACTACAGAATAATTAATAATATCTGTAAAGATTTTTATAAGATTATACAATAATAATAATATTTAATCAGAAAAAATTATAATATTTAAAATAAATTTTATAAATATAAAAAATAATTATAAGATTTATAAAAAAAATATTATTATAATATCTAATATAAAAAAAATTATATTAAATATATTATAAATTTAAACAGAGATTTTTATTACAGAGTTTAATTAATATTATTTAAGATTTTATAAAAAATAATAAATTAAGATATAATATATTACTATAACAGAGTTTCTGTAAGAATAGTAATCCTTATAACCCTTGTGATATAATATATCACAAGGAATATCTATACTATAAAAACAGTCTTTTATAAAGTAATTATACTAGTATAATATATAACTTACAGAATTCTTATAAATATATTTATTTATAAAAAAAGCTAAATAAAAGACTAGTAATAATATTTTAAATAATATAAATATTATTTTAATTTTATAATAAATATATTTTCTTCATATTATCTTAATATATATTCTTATAATCTTATTATTTAAAATCTATAAGATAATTTATTAAAATTATATTTATATAAAATATTAGATATTATATCTATAAAAATTCTTCTGATTTTTTAAAGATTAATTATAAAATTATTATAAAAAAAATAATTCAAGTAAATATAATCTTATTATTCTTTAAAAAATTTTATAAATAATTAAATATATTTTAATAAATTACAGAACTAGAGCAGAAACTTAAAATTTTTATAAATAATAAAAAAATTTATAAATTTCTAAGTAATTCTAATATATTATTTATAAAATTAAAAAAATTAATATATATATATATTTTTTATAAAATAGTAAATATTATAATACTTATAATTATATTATTTTTTAATTATTTATTATTTAGCAGAAATCTATTATAAAGATTAATAATTAAAATAAAAATTAATAAATATAAATTATAATAATTTATCTAGATTATATATTTAATAATCTATAAAAAAATAAAACCGCGAAATTCTTTTAAAAGAATAATTAAATAAATTTTTATAAATTTCTTAAGATATAGCTAGATAATTTAAAAAATTATAAATAAAAAATATAATTATAAAATCTAAGAATAATTTTTTATAAAAAAAAAAAACTTTATATATTTATAATATTAAAAAAAGATAAAAATAGAGCTAGATTATAAAATATAAAAATTAAATATTATATAATTATATTTATTTTTTAAATTATTTTTATAAAATATAAAATAAAAATTTATAAGTAGCTAAATTTTTTTATTATTAAATAAGATTTAATTATATTATTTATAAAATTAAGATTAAATATTAATTAATAAAATAAGAAGACTAATTATTTATAAAAAAAAAATTATTATTATTTATAAATTAAATAAAATAATTTAATAATTAGAATTATTATAAGAAATTTCCGCAGAGAGATATTTTATAATTAAATATATTAAAAATATTTATTTTATAAGACTTTATATTAATATCTGCAAGAATAATAAAATATTTTAATTATAAAAATAAGATTATATTATAAAAAAGTATTACTAATATAAGAGCAAAAATTCTAAGAAATAACTTATAATTTAAATAAATTATAAAAAATTAATAAATATATTTTTTATAATATATTTTATTTTAAGACTATAAGAATAATTATTTATACAGAATAAGATTAATCTACTTAAAAAATTAATATTTTAATTAATATAAATATAAAAATAAATTTAATATCTATAATAATAATAAAAATTATAAAATAATTAATAATATTTATAAAGCTTTTTATAAGATTACTAGATAATAATAATATTTAATTAAAAAAATTATAATATTTAAGATTAATCTTATAAATATAGAAAATAATTATAAGACTTATAAAAAAATTATTATTATAATATTTAATATAGAGAAAATTATATTAGATATATTATAAATCTAAATAAAAATCTTTATTATAAAATTTAATTAATATTATTTAAATTTTATAAAAAATAATAAATTAAGATATAATATATTACTGTGACAGAGTTTCTTATAAAAAAATTAAAATTAAATAATTATAAATTATAATAATTAAATTTATTTATAAAAAATAGATCTAAAATACTTTTA